ATTTGTATTGAAATAATACAAATTTACAAATTAAATTACACTACTGTGCATCTTTACTGTATACTAACACACTAATCAATAATCTGACTTATTTTATTTTCTTTACTGGCTTATTTTCTTTTCTTTACCAAACTAACATAATTAGCCATCAACTATTACGTACGCTTTTTTATGGAGTGATTTCAAGTCCCAATAACTTGCTTTGATCTTACACACTTTGTAGTGTATATGGTATTCTCACAAGCTTTTATATGTCTGTCTCTCGATTGAATTAATTTGTAAAATTCCAATACCTATTTTTCTGCAAAAACCAATTTAAAAAAACAACATCCTAATAAACACCTTCAATGAAAACTCAAATTAACAAATAAAATTTAGTAGAAAAATTTTCTTCCTTCAGTGTATAGCTTGCTACGAAAACTTGAAAATTAGAAATATCTCTTGGCCTTGTTTATGGAAATATTGGAAGCCCGATACCTGAGAGATAGGTCACAACATCTGCAGACTTAAAACCAAATATATGAGATAATTGTTATTACTAAAAACCCATTAGCATGTACTAATTTTCACTTGACGTTAATGTTCATGGAAGATACATGCGACATGACATGAATCATTCACACGCGAACGAAATATTTATCAATGGATTTTACTTAAGTAAACAAACCTGATGAATTCATTCCATATTTTTTTTCGCTATCATTAACCTTTGTGCACTCGTATTTGTAGAGTTGCATATGAAATTCTTTCATTGAATCTCTACACATGGGAAAAAAATTATTCTTTAGAAGAAAGTATCAAAATAATTTATTAGACTAAACTAACAAAAAACATATTAGTCCATGAAGATTGATCTCGGAAATTGAATCAAAGACACAAAAAATTTACCTTGCTGCCGCTGAAGGTATTGATGTAGACGGCAGCCTACTCGGTTCAATACCATTTAAATATGTTTTCACCGAAACTACGTAAATATGACATTGATTTTTTATTTTTTTTTTAAAAAAAAGAGGAGATTGCCAATGTGATGTTTACTATTTAATTGTGAGGATATGTTTTTATCGAGTATTTGAGTTTGGATTTCACAATAATAATTTTTTTGCCTAATTAATGTTTGGTTTTTATCCCATTCCAAAATAAATCTCTACTGATTGATTGATTGACAATGTTAATTTCCATTTAAATTGATTGTTATGACAATTCAAAAATAATCGGTTGTATTGACTTCTTATCCCAATTATTCCAAAGTTTTTCTTAATGGAAGATACATGATCAGTCATTGGGTATATGATGATCTTGGAACCCGATTTCTAATTGATTGAAATATTAATTGATAATTAATTAAATTGATCATGATTATTATCATTCTTCCATATTCATTTTATCGCATTAATTGATAATTGATCATCATTATGATCATTTTTTCATCTTTCCATTTGTAACTAATGATTTAAATGAGATATGGTAAAAAAAAATTTTATATAAAATTCCAAGAACTTTTAATGTAATTGCGTAAACTTTTATTTTTGTTATTTGTTAAAAAAATGACACATAGGATAAAAATCTTATGTGGTACATTTAGAAATTGTTTTTGTTTTCTCTCTCAGGTTTTTCTCTTAGTAAAAGGGCAATGGAGAGAGTTAAATTAATAAAAGGGGTAAGACTTCAAAATAATTTTTATTAAGGGCAGTAATTTATTTGGCAAAAAACATAAAATAAAATTAATTGTGTGCTGATGTAAATACCCTCTTCTTCCTCAAAACGAAATCAGATCCTTCTGAAAATTAATCCTTCGCTGTCAGAGGATATCTCCTGCTACTTCCTATAAAACGATATCACCACCTCTACCATGAGAAAGTCTCCAATGGAATTGATCAATGAAATTTCACCTATTTAGGTTGAAGGCAAAATTGTTCGTAGCGAAAGAGACAGTAATCCTGCGCTAGGACATCCTATTGAATTTATATGTCTTAATTTGGATGCCCCAATAGTACGCAAGTATTCATGTCTATGTTGTATGATGTTTAAACGCAATGAAAGTTGCCATGTATTCGGAATGAATGCCGATTTTTGGCTTATTCCAAGTTTTACTTTTTGATCTTTGTTCACTGCCATTTGATAATTTTGGAGCTTGATCAATGAAACCATCTGTAGCATAGAAGAAAAAATAAAAATCCATTCAATGGAGTTTTGTAGGAGATTTTTGGCTTATTCCAAGTTTTACTTTGGATCTTTGTTCACCGCTATTTGATAATTTTGGAGCTTGATCAATAAAACTATTTGTAGCATAGAAAAAAATAATAATAATCCATTCAATGGAGTTTGGTAGGAAATTGTATCACAATTGATATATATATATATATATATATATATATATTCCGATATTGTGCCTAAAAAAGAAGGGAAAAAAAACAAATATAGGAAAAAGTGTAATCAAAACCAAACTCCTACTCTAATGTTGAAACAATCTTATCCCCAAGGTATTGGATTTAATTTTTAGTTAGCAAAATAAATATTAAGGATAACCATGTCAATACACAACTATTTTTATTTTATAATTCTTGTCAAATAAATAACTGCCCTTAATAAAAATTATTTTTAAATCATACCCTTTTTATTAATTTAATCATTTCCACTACCCTTCATATAAATTTTCCCTAATATAATATATATACTATAGATAAAGGCTACATTTTCTCATTTTTTATAGTTTGGGTAAAAATATTATTTTATAATATTGACGTGTCTAAATTTATAAATGAGTTTTTTTTTGAAAAAAAAATTATTTCCTTATTTATCGATTTTTTGTTCGAATTTTTGTACGCCAAAAATTCTAATATTGACTAGATTTTAGTAATGACAGATTAATTCATATGTAGTTTTTGCTGTGTTTCTACTCTTCAAGTGTAATAGTGCTGTAGCCTGTAGCGGTGAAATTTTCTACGGATGAAAGAGAATCATAGACATTGTAAATTTCTAAATTACTATCTTATTTTACATTAGTAAATGACGAATCAAACTAGAATTTTTCTCCCTTGAGGCTAAGACAAACTTGGTGAATGCCGATGCTGTGATCGAAATAAAAATCTACACAGGAGTGGCAAAAAGGTATAATACGAAATGATATTGTTTTCACTTTTCAGAGGGAGAAGAGAAGAAAAACTAACTGCAACTTTCAAACAAGGAGCATGTTTGGGCCTTTAAAAGGGTCAATGCTTCAAAAGAGAATTGAAAATCATCCCAGAATCACACCATCAAGAAGTGGTAAATTGGTTATATGGTTACCAAATTATGCCAACTGAAAATATTGGGGAACATACTACTATTAATATCACTACGAACATAACTTGATTAATAGAATCTATGCATACCGCCAAAAGAACTTCGAAATGAAGCAAATGATAGTCTACGCATAAGCTATATGGCGACGCCTTCCTACAAATTTTATGGAACCTCAACAACCAGAGCAGGCCACTCCCCAAACATGCTGCATTGCAAAGGTTGAAATGTGAATCCATGTCTATACGTCATCTTCTCTCTCTGGTGGAAGACCACAAGGTAGCAGCATTTTCTACAAAGATACAGAAAAACGGACGAAAGTTCTTTAGTCGAAGAGTATACTCAGAAGGAAAACAATTCTAAAAGGTCATCAGAAAACGTAAAATTCAACCAGCTCTGGAGTAAGCAAGTAACATTCTTGTCGACATTAAAACATGTAAGCAAATGTGGCTGATAATTTAAGCGCATGAGCATGAGCAAGAACATGAACATTGGGATCACAACATGGACACAACATGAAGAAACGAGAGAAATACTTCCCATGCCACTAAGAAACACAGTAAAGAAACCCCTAACCGTTTATAGATTCATAACAACCTAAATTGGCAAGAAGCTACAGTTGCTTCCGTTTGTAAATGATTTGAGAATGTGAAATTCCTCAAGACTAAATAAACAATCTAATGTCAACTATCCCATATGGAAAAAAGACCAAACCTACAGAATAAGAATACAAAAACCAACCCAAACACAAGAACAAAGTCCGGTCCTTAACCAAAAGAGCTATCAGTAACATCAAAATAGCAGCTACAAGCTACTATCTTGTATTGCAAAAAGAAAGAGAAAATCTATAGAATAAGTTCTCAAAAACAAACCCAAAAATAACAATCTTTTGATCTTTTTCCCAAGAAAAAAAAGCTACTAGTAGTAACTTAAAATTAGCAGCTAGCTCTACGAACCATAATATGATGATGATGAACCAAAAACAGAGGAAAAGAAATTTACTTTTAAAAAAAAATAAAGGGAAAATACCTGCATGAAATTGTAGCGCTCTCTACCAATTGATTCATTCTCAGCAATTGCAAAATAAGCCAACATGGGATAGTGCCCAATATATGAGGCGTAACTATCCCGCTGAATGTTCACAGCCCATTCACTACAAATAAAAGCCGGAAAACCAAATTAATTGAAACAATCAAAACAAAATCGAGAAAAGTTATCCATCAGAGGTTTAAAAAACCGAAAAAAAAAAAACAGGACAAAGAATAACACAAAAACTTACAATCTTGTCAAATCAGCGTGTCCGGTACCCACATACTTAGCTTGCAGATGCTCTAACTGTGAGTTTATGTTAAATCTGTCACTCGCCTGCATTTAAAAAAAAAAAAAATAAACAAACAAAACATCAATTTCTCATTTAAATCCCAATAAAAACTGAACTGCGAATTAGGGTTCAACCAAAAGGGGATTTCGAGTCGACAAAAAAAATAAGCAGCAAGAAATTGAAGACAAACTGAGTAAATAATTTGAGCACTGATTTCATTTACGCAGAATAGTTCCATGAATTCAACACTTATTTACCTGCATCTTCGGAGATTTTCGAAGAGCTGAAACGAGAAGTAATGGAGGGGACGTAAATAAGCTCTAAACAGATTGCGGTTCGAACTCGTGAGTTCCTTTTTCGGAATTCCTCTTTTATAGAGTTAGTAATCGTATAAATATCCCTCAAGTTCTGCAGATTTAGAAACAGTACCCTGAAATTTATTTATATGGAGTGTTACCCAATTTTAAGTTTCAGATTTTCACAATTATCCAGACGTTGACTTTCTCCCCTCAATACGTTGACTTCAGATGTATATATGCATCTGCCAAGAACATATAACATCTACGTGAGAATTAGTATTGGTCCGTTTGTGTGTGTGTTTTACTTCAATTTTGTAATTTTATCTTGTGGTGAGACAAAGAATGAAAAAAAGAAATCAAGCCGGCCAAAAATCAAACAGCGAAAGGCCAAAAATTCTAAATTAGAAGATAAATTATTTTTCTAAAACGGATAGAGTGACAAAGAAAGAGTTACGAAACTGATAAGAGAGGCTATAAGGTAAAATAACCCAAAGGGGAAAAAAAACACTTGCCAACAATAAAATTGGTATTACTATGACTAAACTGAAATTCAGTTACTGAATCTTTGAGTTAATTACAGTAACAAGTTACTGGGTATCAGCCTCTACACTCTACAGTTTTGTCCAGAAAGACTGCACATTTTCCACTAGCAGATAAAAAACAAAATGAATTGGGCATATACATCATTTTCTGGTGACATAATTTACAATAGATGCAAAGATCAAAAGCTGCTGAGCCAACCCAACCCCGAAGTCCACACACTAACTTTTAACAATCCGCCAAAACGCATCTTCGGTTTAATCATCATGCGCATACTTACACTTTGGTTGCACGAAAAATGGCATACAAAACGAAAAGAAAGGGAACACCGGCTATTTTATCATGAAGAAATTAATGCTGCTTGGTTCATCATCATCATTTGCTAGGGTCATGTGAAGTTATGCACAGATTAGTTTGGGAGCTTCTTCAAAGTTCTCCTTCTTTCGATACTTCTATATGTCGAGGTAGTAGACTAAGGAAGCTTCCTTGAGTAGACTGATTAGAAGAAGCATCTGATTCCTCACCTGGAAATCCAAATTGAGAAGATAAGAAAATGTCGACATTTTGGATTTTGTGTTTGTTTCACAGTTCAATTAGAATGCAGAAAACCATGTATCCACTGTAATGAGAGTTTCTAAAACAGAAAGAGACAGAGTGGGGTGCTTTCTAGTAAAATGTAAAAGGGCCAAATCAAGTAGGCTTTCATTCTCAGCTACTTTTCTAGCGTCCCGATTGGGGTGCTTTCTATCAAACTCATACAAAATGTTATTTCTACTGCGTTATTTCAGTTTACTACTTTCCTTCACCACACCAAGTCCAACAATCGAGTATACAATTATGAGCAATCAAACCTAGTAGCATCAATGAGAAGGAAAACACAGATTGAATATCATAATAAAAGGCGAGGAGGGAGAGAAGCATACTGAAAAGCGATTTCACAGTTGGCCTCTTAGGCTTGGTGCTCTTCTTCTTCAATTCAGCTGGAAAAAAAAGGAAACGCATTACAATAAAATCGTATAAGAAAACAAGCTCAATGATATAGGTTAACTTGAACAAAATGAAGCGGCCTAATCGAACTTCGTCCTTAGTTTCCAATGCCACTTCATTAAAACTAAGCCTTACGAAACCCTGAAACTGAAAGTATGAATGAGCAAATGAATACCTATTCCAGGAACTTCGTGCTCATTGACAATTTCAAAATTCTTGTATGTATAACCCATAAAATTGACATCTTTAGAGGAGAGCATCTGCAGCAAAAGAAGGCAATTAGATACAAAAGAATATAACACACGTGTTAATTAAATATTTTGAATTTCCCAGGCCCCACTTTAAAGAAAAGAAAACAATCAATCTTGCAAATCAGTAGTGATATGTAAACCAGAGATCGATATTTTTTGAAAGTTGTTAGCGCAAATACACCAGCAGCGTTTAAGCAAAATGAAGATCAGATAACCTTGGAAAGTCTTATTAGCAAATATGACCCGTACCAAGCCAAAAATGTGTATCTTAATTCTCAACTAAAAAGAAAGGTCCACAGTTCTAGGAATTTCAAACTCATGCATGAGTGATATAGGATGTTTGTAACTGTACTTTTAAGCCAATTTTCAATTGCAATAACTGATATTGTTAAGCAAACACTTCCTTTGAGCCTATTGCTAAGTACTCTCCAATTTGCAAATCCAATAAAGAAGAGCACTCGTGTGTAGGTTCAGCTTCATGCATTGCTCAAATCGCAATGAACAACAACAACAACAGCATACCCAGTATATTCCCTACCAAGTTGGGGTCTGGGGGGGCAGTCCATTTCCATTGCGACCCGAGGTACATAAAGCTGCACAGTTTTCTAAATAAAATCGCAATGAAACTATCTAAATAAAAGCTGCACTGCTATACCAGAACATGCAGTTTTGTTTATTTTGGAAGAGAGGGCAAACATATAAATGGATGATCACCCTCAAAACAACAGCCAGAAATGAATAACGTTGGTAATCTTAGTTACACTCTTTAATCATATAATCATAAACCATAAAAACAACTGTAATACCCTCTTGATATACTACAATGTCATAACAAATAAGGCGCTTGAAAGCTTATGAACTAACCTTCCTCCACGGACCAGATTTGGCTGATGTTGGGACATGACTGTCGGTCTTCGGCCAAGAAAAAATGGAAAAAAAAAAATAAAAAAAAAAGAAGAAGCAAATGAGTGTGAGGCCAAATATTAATTACAAGATGAAAATGGAGTAGGGATAAGCATCAGTTGGAAAGATGAACAAGGAGAACATCTGCACCTCTTCAAACTTTTCAAAATTTTGGGTATCTAATTCATCATTAACTTCTGGAATGAATGCTGCTTTCATTTGATACAACTTTTCCCATTCAAGGCCTTTAAACCATGGGTGAGCCTGCAAATTCAGAAAGTCATTTAAACTTCTGGAGGCCATTTATGACAAGATGTCAAAGGTCATTCCAATAAAAACATAACAGACCTTTATTTCGTGAGCTCCTTTCGTTCCAAGTCGCTGTTCCACATTACATAGGAGTTTACAAATAAGATCTTTTGCTTCCGGGGATAATCTTGCCTCTTCCGGAAATTTTAGATGTGTTCTCCAGTTAACTATCTGGAATATAGAGAAGTAATCAATGAAACAATTGAACGCAAAACAAAAGATTACAAACTTTACATATTGCGAAAAGAAGTAATTACCTTCCTACAAGTGGCCATTGGTTCATCGGAATAGAAAGGAGGAAATCCCACAAGCATCTCATACATGATAGCGCCAAGAGACCACCTGTAAAGATTTCATCTTACATCAACTCCAGAGAAATATTCTTATTGAGTAAAAGCCGAATACATGATAAAATACAAACCAGTCGCATTCCATTCCATATCCCTTCTTCAATAAAACCTCAGGAGCTATATAATCAGGTGTACCAACAGTTGAATAGGCCTATATATTTAAAACACAGGAATTTAAAAAGTAAGTATACAGTTCCAAGGTACAGAAGATGTGAAATGCCGGAAACAATTAGCATGTCAAAATATTAGCTGTTTTTAGATATTCTCAAAACCAAAGAGATCCCCCAATTAAGTGTCCAAATGCAGGAGGAACCAAAAGAAGCAACAGTATACATTCTATATCAGTTGGTGCCATCAAATGGGATTTCTTTTCATTTGATACAAAAGGATTCTTACAAGCATCCGCCGATTCCTTTGCCAGTGCAAGAGCTGTTCTTGTTGAGTTCGCTTTGGTGGTCCAGGTCGCCCATCACTTTGGAGAGCACCACTATAGTTATTGCCAACAGAAAAATCCTTTTCCTGAAGGTTACTGCAATCTAATGGCTTACATAAGCCAAAATCTGACAATTTCATATGCCCATTTCTATCCAGAAGTAAGTTATCAGGCTTGATATCCCTGCAAAAGTGCCAAGCATTAATAATTCACTTCATATGGTTACCAATAACAAGCAGTCTAAGATGACAGTAGGCCCTAACGTCAGAAAGAGGAGCATCTACAAACCTATGAATGTAATTGTGTTTGTGAATGGACTCAATTGCAAGAACAGTTTCCCCAACATAAAACCGGGCCTCATCTTCAGTCAGTGTATCCTTTCTCATAAGCAAAGTCATCATATCTCCACCAGGTAAATATTCCATAATTAGATAAAGATACTCTTCATCTTGGAACGAGCAGTACAGTTTCACAATGCAATTGCTATCAACTTCGGCAAGAAGATTCCTTTCTGCTTTTACATGTTCAACCTGTACATACGAGCTACTTCAATAAGACTGGATGTAAGGGGAGAAATGCAACAAGAAATAAAACAATCATGAAAACAAATGCTAACATCCTGAAAAAGAAGAACACGAAAAAGACGAAGCTGACCTGGCCTCTGCGAAGCATTTCTGATTTCTTAAGTTTTTTCATGGCATATACATGGCCGGTGGTCTTTTCTCTACAAATCCTAACCTGCAAAGCAGATAAAGAGGCAAGCAGATTTCAATGTCCAAAATTCAGAAGATTCAACAATCAAAAACTTATCTTTATCTCCAGGAAAGCTCACTTCAGTTATTATGGTGAAACAAGGAAATGCGCAAGTCGGGAAGGAAAGGAGTAAATTCTTGATGAGGTGTATTTTGACAAAAAAGATGTCATCAGGTCGCCCAGCTCAAACCCACCCAAAGGTAGCCAGGACTTTGGAATAATCTGTTATCTACTCTATGAGAACAAGCCATCTCTAACCCTTGTTGTCTACTCTATGAATAATAAATACGTAAGTAGGCGTAACAACCCTGCTCAAATATGTATGCATATCCAACAAGTCTCCCAAGATTACTGTTGCAACAATAATTGTTTGACTACATTATGGCAAAAAAAATTTCTGTTTTAGGGGCAACCAAAAGATGGAAGCAGAATCGACAAACACACAAAGGCAAAAACAGAACTTGTGAGGAAAGAATGAATTCCTTGTGGTAAGGGAATATACAATCAACAAGATTGCCTCCAAAAAAAAAAAAAACTTTTGATGGCAAAAAAAACTATAGGGTTTCAGAAGTGAGTTCTTCGTGCCACCCAACACATACACATACAGAGAGAGAGAAAGAGAGAGGGTACCTCCCCAAAAGCACCCTTTCCTATCATAGTCAAAGGCTCAAAATCATCAGCCCCCATTTTGTGCCTCTGAAGCCGCATATATTCTGTTTCCTTCTTCTCTAGGTATTTTAGAATGTTATTTTGCTCTTCCTCAGTGACGTCAGCATCAGCCAATTTCCTTTCAAGGACATGACGCCTGCCCAAGACAACATCAATTTTATTGCAATGATACTGCTCACAATTTGGCAGTCTAATCAGTTAACATACACAAAGAGATCTATGGGAATAGATACTTCATAACTTATGCAGGACAGTCTGCAAGTTGCAAATACATTCACTCCATAGATTACGTCATCTTTATTTAATACGACAGCATGCTAACATTACTGCGATTTTAATAATGATGGAACATTCAGGCACTACACTCCACTTACTTGAGAAGATGAAATCAAGTCCAAAGGTACAAGAGACGAGCAAATTAAAAATGTTAGGATGACAGTTTGCTATAGACAGAAAAAAGAGCCCTATAACCCTACACGTGAAAAAACCAAACCCAAAAAGATAACTATATTGAATTCTGATCGAAAATATAAGGATGGTCCCTTAACAAACGTTGATTTTGTCAATCTTGTTCAGAAAGGTGATAAGATATATTCAGTGATCACATCAAAGAAAATTTTTAAGCAAAATCAGTTGGTTATCCATATGAGAATATGAAATGTTTAATACAAACTAAGTTGCATGTAACAGTAATTTATCCGTTGGATATATTCTCATAAGGATAAGCAAAATTAATAATACAAAATCAGTTGCTGCTTCGTATTAAAATTTTGCTTATCCATACAAACTAAGTTGCATGTAACAGTAATTTATCTGTTATTGCCCGGAAAAGCAAGACTGACAGTTGTACAAAAAAATATATATATATATATAAAACTACATTTATGTGCAATTTTATTTTATTCAGCCTGTAATGAGCAAGGAGCGAAATTCAAAAAGTAGAGTTGAGTCCATAGCTTAATATTCTTACATCAAAAGTACCAAAAATTTGTTTTTTAGAAGCTACATTAATTAAATCCAAAATATCTGCAGCTTGTTTTAGCAACAGCTCTTTCAGCATACAAACCAATCATCGAAAAAAGTATTACACATTTGACTACACGTAATGCTACATGCAATATACATGGAAGGACCAAATGAGAACAGATATTTTTGGATTTCCAAATTAGTTTTGATTGCCAATAAAATTGGTAAAGCATTAAAACAGAGACAGTTTCATGTGACAGCTACAATCAATATAATCTCAAATATCAGCTACTATACTAATAAACCAAAAGTAACAGCAGATCGACTTTTTCCATATACACTTTCAGCAATTTATGAGATGCATTACTATGCAAGTTCAATGTCGAAGAAAATATATATAAAAGAGACTAATAGTACGTCACAACTATCACTAAAAACAAAGTTGCAATGGTTCCTCATAACTATCACTAAAAACAAAGTTGCAAGTACACATCAGAAACACAAGAAAGACATCCTTTAACAAAAACAAAATTTTATCCTGGGACCTTCTATAGAATAACAAGCATATCTAAGTAAAAACTTACTATCTGGGCAATGCATGAAGGAAAAGCACTTTTTCCACAAAGTATGCAACACGTTGAAGCAGGAAATTCACACTGTTTAATATGGTGTTGATACAAGATGCCATAATACTACATAAAACATTTATACACTAAAATATTAGGTTAAAACCCAAAAACAAAAAAATAGGTTAACCCAAAAATAGCGAAAGCTTCTTTCATCTAAGGTTTTGGAATTTAAGGAACTTAACTATATTGATATTTGCTTCTTTTGAAGCATCAAAGAAGTCAAAACATTCTTATGAATCAGCAAGTTGATTAAAACATTTACGACGATGGTTGCTAGAGTGCAGGCTTCAAAAGATAACTGAACTGCAATTATATCTAGGTAGTTTCTGCAACCAATATAAAGATTCTAAAAGGGAACATATGGCAACCGTCATCTTCCCTCAATTATTTACAAGATAAGACTCAGGCCAGTTGTAGGGTAAAAGAACGTAAAAGTCATACCGCTCCCGGCGTTCCTGAAGACTTCTCATCTGTTCCTTGTAATGCTTCTCTATATACTGCTTAGCAGCTGCAACCTTCTGCTTGGTAGCATTAGATGGTGCCTCCTCAGGTGAAATTGCTTTAGACCCTTCTTTCGCATTACTCGAGACTTCCTTCTTCTTTGATGGCTTCGGTTTATCCTTGGATCGAGTTTTTCCAAACCATCGTCTCATTGCTTCCATCTTTAAAATTACAAAACCAATATGACGTCCTGACAACACTCGCCAAGATCCGAAATGCTAAGAGCCACGCCCCTAAATATAAAGTCTATCAACAAAATTTCCCCACATTGATCCAAGAAGCTATCTCCAGTAATAGCCAAAAAGTCCAATTAAAACTGCAAAAGAAATTTATAGAAAGCATTAAACAGGATAGCGATCTTCTTGAAGAGGCAACGGATTTCACAAACAAAATTGGTAGTTTCTACTCATTACAATAAGCAACCACAAAAAGTTACTTGCTTCATATAGACAATCTACGGACATGTGCAACCTTAAACACTTAATTACGTTGAACAGTGCAAATTCCAAACTGAAAAATATTTTGAAGGTCTCTCCACTAATTTTGCTTTTCAATCTTAATCATAAAATGCTTGATCAACCAAGAAATACAAAAAAGAATGTCATTAAGTAGGTAACCAATATAGAAAATATAGTCGTCCAATTAAGTGCTCCCCTTAGCATATAAAGTACATCCACAATATCAACATACAGAAAGACAGCCAGATGCCAGGGAGCTCAGTCGGCACACTGAATTCCAGAAGTGCTGAAATGGGTCAAGAAATTCCAATCCTCAGTGGTTTAACCCATCAAAACGGATTCAAAAACCACACTTCAACAAAGCAGGAAGATGGATTCAAAAAATCAGCACCATTCACCCCTCAAAAGCTAGGATTAAAAAACGGAAAGAACAAAATACATGTGTTCATTCCGATAATTCACGCTGAAAATCAATTCAAGATTCCAACTTTACCATGATTTACAATATTCCCTGATCCAACACAATCAAGATGCACGTTTTCCGCAAACTCAGACCAATAAATTCAAAACCCGACCCAGAAAACCAGCAAAAGGGCCAAGAATTCACCTGTTAAAACCCATGAACCATCTTGAATTTTACTCCAATTTGACCTCCAAAAGCTATGTTTTAAGTGATAAAGAAGTGTTTGAGAAAACAGAGAGAGAAAAAGCAATAGTCTTGCTCTTATTGAATTAACATGAAAGGAAGAGGCAATAAAGTAAAAACACTAAAACAGAGAGAATTAGCAAAACCCTAAAGATGAAAAAGGAAGGCAAAAAAGAAAAGCCAAAAAAAAGGGATGATTTTAGTTTTTAGGTAGAGAAGAAGATTGATGTTGTTGGTGAAGCAGTGATGACCACTTTAGGCTGTGGTGGCACCATTCACCATAGAAGAAGCACACACAGACACACAGTTCAACTTTCAAGAGAGGAAAAAAAGACTTTTCTTTTAAATTTATTTTTTTTCCTTTTTCCTTGCGAAATAAATAAACTTCTTTAATAAATATTTTAAAAAATAGTTTTCAAGATAAATTTATTTTGAAGATTTGATTTTGAACCCATTTTTGAGTTTTTTCTCTTGCTTTGTTTTTGGGACAGAGATGTTTCTGGGACCAGACTTTTGAAGACAGTTGGACTAATTTTTTGGACAAAGCAATCTTCTAATTAAAGACAATTAAATTAGTAATATTTCCAAATTTAATTAATAAATGTAGATTAAGGGCATCAATTTTTACTTTTTAAAGTAAGGTGGTATATGACTTTTCTTTTCAGATTATAAGCAGAAATGTTAGATTAGTTGCTGCTGCTTGTAGAAGCCATCTTTTTGGCATAACGTGACTTATCATGTCCACATTCTAATTAAAGTTTCCTTGAACTCACTGAGCATGCAGTTGATTAATACAATTGTGAGGAAAACTCAATTTGAGGAACTTTGTTCAAAAACATTTGTCTTGTTTTGCATTACTAAAAAAAATCCAATTTAATAATTATTCTAAGACGGAATGAATAATAATCTTAATTTTAAGAGCATTGTCGTGGAGTTAATGATCCAATTCCTTCATGTATTACTTTGTTAACCTAAAATCAGTACAACATTCTTATGAGATTTGTCATTTTAATCATATCTCCCATTTCTTAGCTATCTTTATTTTTGCATATTACAGAGTATCCACCGTTGATAAAAGTGACTAACCTTTTTCTTTAGTTATCTTACCCGCAAATTGAAATACAAATACTTTAAAATTTATTAATAATGAATATAAAGTTCATTTAAAGTTTTTAACATTTTAAAATATATATTGAGGATAAGACTATTTTTTTTTTGTTTTCTTTCTTTCTTTCTTTACTTACTTTCTTCGAACAAAAATTAACGGTTAATTTCTATTTAATTTTAGAATTGTTTTGAAATACTAATACTATTCCATCTGTCTAATAGTTCATATTATACAAATATCAAAACTCAATATAAACTATTTTTCAAGATATATGGAATTTTTTTAACTAGTGCAAAATATCTATCATCATCAATTAAGTAATGGTACACACACCAAAATTCAAAGTAAATTTTTTTTTTGGAGACAGATAGATTTTTTTTTTAGCTAATGCAATATCTCTATCATCCTCAAATGGTAATTAGTAGTTTCTTTGCTGAGTTAGTGAACATAACTCAATAAATGAAACAATGGAATACTGAAATTGTTTCAGTTTATTTCTATTCTAAATCAAATTTTGAACTAATGTAGAATGGAACCAATAAAAGGATCGTGGTGTAATCAGATTGAGTTGCAACATAAAGGAATTAGATTATGCATGATAATGATAGCTGATTTTGCATAGTACAAAACAAACAAAGGAATAAAATATCTAAGATAGAAATGAAGTGGCACACCTCTAACTTCCCTCGTCATATAAAAACTAATTTTTAGAAAATTGGAATACGCTTTCTTGATTGATATGCTTATTATTTAAAAATAATACAAAAATTATATAATTATTAGAGGACGATGGGAGCATGTATTTAATCTTAGAAATGAACCATTAAATGGAGTATATATTACTTTCATTTATCAATACTTTTGTCTCAAAGAAAAATCCACTTTCGTTGGATTAAGAAACTGTAATAAAGTGAACTATTTTCTTGAGATGGAAAAAGTTATCTTAACACTTAAATACAATATAAATAAATAAATAAAAATTAATAAATGAAAGAAGTTTAATTTGAAAATTAAAATTAGTCCATTATTATGAAACTGAGACTCAGGGAACCGTCCAATTTTGAACATCCAGAATCACATAGAATACCAACAATTACAATTCTAGATGATTACTTCTAATGAAAGTTTTATGTCATCTGGGAGAAGTTGTTATTGGAGCAGATTTCATTCAATTTCAACCCTTAATTTTTTTGTATATCACCTCTTGGACAAGCTGCACAGAAACCTTTATATTTCCCCATAAAATCAGTTTTACTACATTATTTTAATTTGATAATTGTGTCTTTTTCTAGGATGGAAATATAACATGAGATGACAGTTAATCTACATTGATATAGTTTTTCTCTGAATTCAGATTGTTTGCTAGACAAATGCATATGTTAACAACAATTCTCTTGAAGAAAAATATTCATTTTGTGAGTGCTATTATTGTATTATTTTATTAAAAAATCAGATAATCAAATGATCAGTTGGAAACTATAAAGAATAATTTAAACCCTCCAAAACTTGGATATCAAATATAAAATTTTAAGATTCAACATTAAGATTACTTCATTTTGTTGGGTAAAATTGTACTCTTTGTGTCTCAAAATAATTCTCAACCAGAAGAATAAATAAATTGCATAAAAATGCGAATCATTGAATAGCTTCTTATCCAAAAATCATGTTCTCCAATTGGGTCCTATTCCAGTACTAAAATAATTTGCTAGTAGACTTATTTAAAAAGAAAAATACTAGATAAAATATTGATTCTAAAACAGCGAGACACAATATTATAAGCAGATTTGTTAAACAAAACAATAAAATAAAAGAAAGATCATTAGAAGAAAAACTAAAAAAAAAAAAATCAAATTCAAAGTACTCTCATATTACTTGTTGACTTTTTGTCTTGGATCAGTTGAAAATATTGAAGAAACTAGAGAAAATAGTGGAAGAAGCCTTCAAATCTAATCATTCCATCAATAATTTTTTATTTTCTTGAAAAAACAAAACTGCCTTCAATAGAAATTAATATGTCTAATAGTATCTTCCATCCTCTTTTCAGTGTTGGAGGACAATTGTTGAACCGATAAAACTTACGTTGTTTTAGATATATATACCCGACGATTAGCGAATAGAATATACTTTCAGGTGTTCTAGTACATAAAACTAATCACTATCGGAATCAAATGTACACTACGCTTCCTTAAAAAATATTCTCTCTGTCGCAAAAATATTATCTAATTTAAAAATAAAATTCTAAACTGAATAATAATTTTAGGACGAGAGAACATAAAACAAACGGAATCTAAAAAATTAACCAGCTAGCTAGTAGGAGCGAAAAAAAACTGCTCCTTTTGGGATTCCCTTGTTTACGTTAAATAATAAGGCAAGAGACATGAAAAATTATATTGTGGATAGAATACGATACAGTTGAAATTTTTATTCATATAAAAGAAATGTAACGATGTTTCTTTTATCTTCTACTTTGATTATGCTAACAAAATATATTTCATCCGTTTTAAAATGATTGTCTTGTTTGGAATATAACAATACGGCAGCATAAAGTCAGAAACAAAAAGTCGCAATCGAGAAAACGCGCTTTCTACTTTGAGGAGGATAGGGGGAAAAAGAAAAAAAACAAAGCCAAAAAGAAAAGAAGGGAAAACGCGGTTGCTGCGTTGGACCACTAGACATTCATACTATGAAAGTAATGTGATCTCCTAGGAACTGTTATATTAGTTAAACTACACTACACAATTAATTAATTCCTTTATTTTATTTATTTTTTAGTTATTCCTAACATCAATCTCTAAAGAAAATTTTAGACTAACTACTAGAGAGAAATTCAAATTTCGTTCCTCGCATGTTCGGTATATCATGACTTAGTTCATTGACTTTTTTTTTTTTTTTAACAAAGAAAAAATATTTATATTTAATTATTTATAAATCATATATTTGTAAACTGAATTCTTCCTACTCTTTTTGTATCATATATGTGTAAGAAGTTAAATAAGGGCACGTTAAATGCTCGATCAATAGTATAAAGAGGTTTTGTTTATTTCGATGATGTCCTAAATATTCAAAATTTCAAATTCAAGATAATATTTTCTCGGTCCAGTTCAAATTTATATATATAGTTTATACGAAACTTATACGTTTATAATAAGTAAAATGTGGATGCATGGTTGGTACACAAGGCCGGAATGAGAGTAAATTATCACCTCCATCTAAGAAACTACAATATTAGTAAATTTCAATGCTCTATAATAGTGGTAAACTACTTGTGGAAGTAACACGATTCACATTTAGAAAGTTGCCTAAGGAGTCACTAATCCTATGGGCCAATGTCCTATGTGATTAGATATATAATACAACACCAAATCACCACATTTTTAGAAACCGCGGTTTCCTTTGTCTTGAAAAGCAATGCTAGATTAGCATTTTAATATTCTTTCAATCAGTTTCCGTTTCATCTGATTAAATTGAATTGCATTTTATTTGTATTATGTGGGAGTACAATGTATAATTTGTATCTTTGTATGAATGTTGTATGAATGTCCAAATTGTCAATTCTTGTGGGCAAATCATAAAGGGCAAAAAAAAAAATTTTAAAAAAAAGGGGCTAAAAAATTCCAAGTTTAAGGACCCCTTTGGCCCAAAAAAATTTGAGAATAGAAGCAAATTGGGAAGAGTTCGGAGAACGGCTGGCTAATTGGGAATAGAATTTTGGTATCTTTCACAACGTGTCAATTATGCAGCTCTGTTTCAGGCGGACATCAAGGGCTATTTGATTGTTCTTTTTTCCCCCTTTTTTATAGCTGGATTCTAATGAAACATCGATCGAGCATCACTTTTTTTTTCTTTTTAAGTTGTGGATTAAATTACGTATGTTCATGTAAATTAAGTTCACTTTCATAGTTCATTTGTTTAAATTTAGGTAAATAAATTTAGGTAAATCATTTGTTATAAATTTTATTTAAATACACGTATCATCATTTTTTCCACAGTATTGATGATATTTGATGCAATATTGATGATATTTATATTAGCTACTAATACTATTCAATTCATAGAATCACGGACTTCCAATTTTAGAAGTTAAAATATATAATTTAGATTATTATTATGGGATGGAGAAAAAAATTAATATCAGATTGGAATAATATTTTATGATAAATCTGTCAATTATCATGTTAAATTATGGGGAGAGACAGAGCTAAGTGAAATGGTAAGAATGAGAAAGATCAATGGGAAGAAAAGGAGGGGAAAATAACCCTCTACAAATTAGATACCATTACTGTTCACAAAATTGACTTGGGGCAGAGAAAGTTTTGGCCAGACAAGTGTTTGTAGTCACTCTGCTAATAATTGAACTACAAAAAGTGAAGCGATCTTACAAGAATCCAGTCACATTGTACTCTGAAATATTAGAATCCTTAGCCTCTAAGTCTTAAGTACTTCAATTAATGAACTAATGTGGAAAGAACCAATCTTTGAAAATTTGACTTTTGGAGTATATATTTCGTCTCACTTTAATAATCTATTTTGTTAAACTAAAATTGTACGCGACAAATAAGTGAATAATTATAAAGAAGGGATAGGTTTGAGACGTGAGTTCACAAGAAATATAGACAACTTGACTTTTCAGTGTGGTGGCCGGTGGGGATACAATCCCAAAATTAAGGGTACATTCAATTTCGGAGGACCAATAATTTTTCAAACTATCAAACCATAATTAAGTTTGGTTTATTAGTAGACAAGAAAGGCAAAGGTTAACTTTGAAGTAACCTTTTGACATTAACTTATAAAATAATTATTTGTCCCTCGCCAATCTTAGAATCAAACAAAGCCATTAGAGGAAATTAGCAGATGATTCATCTATAATTATGTTGAGTGAATTGTAATATAGAAAACACAAGAGAAAGCATAAATAAAAAGAAAAAATAAGACTAAATTTACATTATCCGATCAACTTGACCTATTTTTATAAGAAAAGAGAGATAAGTTTATATTTTTACTAAAAACGATTTGAGTTTATATCATCAGATAGTCTAACACAATCTTTAGAGACTAGTTTTGTGTATATTAATTTACAGGTTCAAGTGTTATAATTGTTTTTTTTTTTTTGGTTCCTTTGCAATTTTATATCAAAGTTTCAATTTTATTTTTTTTCATATTGCAGGATGTTCACCGTCGATAATATTGACTAATTTCTTCACTGATGATAGGCACTTTGATGGCTGAGAGAGTTAACCAAAAAAGTTCCAACATTTTAGTTGAGTAATGACCTATTTGGTTAGTTGAGACTTTGAGAGAATCAAAATGCTCAATTACTTAACTATTTCTCAAATCAAAAACAATAATTACAAGCACCATGCTAGCTGAGGGTTGGCTGCCATCATAATTTTCACTGTAGCACAATCGAGGACTTTGAGTTGGATCTCGTGTTTGCAACTAAAATAACACACCATTAAACTTTGTTACGATTATTGATTTATATCTCAGCTTTAAATTAATTAGCTTCAAGTTAAATAATTTATGTCTCGACTTTGAGAGGAATACCCTCCAGGAGTCCAGGTCCCCCACCGTGGTTAACTACAATCGTGATGGATCGAAATAAAATATTTTCTCCGTTTTAAAATGTTCCTTCCGTCTTAAAATTATTATTCAATTTGAATTTTTAATTTTGATTCAAATTGAACTAAAAATAAAAATCCAACCATGACAATAATTTTGAAATAGAATGAGTATAATTCATTTTGTTGAACTAAAACAATATAATAAAGAAAAATTGAGACAAAGGAAAATAGGAATTCTTTGTTCATTACTTTTGCAAATTATAATGGAATCTTGAGTTCAGTTAACCAAATTTCTAAAAATGACTCAAGGTAAAAATTATATTCGTTATAACATTTTAATCCAACCATTTTAATGTAAAATAAATCGAGGATACATTATTGGTATATTTGAATTGTATCTCAAGAAACAAATACTATACAATTATAGAGATCAAGTAGAACATTAACTAGTATAATTTAATCCAAATGATAAGAATATTAGATCAATAATTCTGACCAGAGAATTTTATCTTTTGAAAGAATCCCAACCATTTGATAGGATAACTTTGTCAAAGTATATAAGTACTTTGGACTTCCATCTCAAATCAATTAGCAATGAGTGAGGTGGCCATTGACACTTATATACTGAGTCACTTCTCTTCACGGTGACAATATGAGACAAGATAATACACCTTAATACCCTCCCTCAAGTCCAATGGGTCCATGAACTTTTTGTCCAATAAACTTGGATCAGGACAAGAATAAAATAGCTCACGAGTCAACGCTCAAGTGGGAGAAAGACAGTGATACCGCTAGATCGATCCACAACAAACCCACGAGTCAACGCTCAAATGGGAGAAAAACCAGTTATACCACTGGATCGGTCTACAACAAGCCCACGAGTCAACGTTCAATTGAGTTAATATTAAATCACCACAGGCCACCTTCGACCTATAACTTCACCACAGTTCAAGTGGGTTAATATTAAATTACAACAGGCCACTTTCAGCCCAGAACTCCACTACAGGCTCAACATCTGTTACCATGTCAAAGTATATAAGTACCTTCAACTTCCATCTCAAAACTAATTGACAATAAGTGGGGTGGCCGTTAGCACTTATATACTGAGTCATTTTTCTTCACGGTGATAATGTAGGACAAGATAATACACTTTAACAAAATTACTCAAATTCAAATTAATTACAAACAATAACTTTATTAAGACACCTATATCTATAGTATAAATAGCTCAAAATGGAAATTCCCAAAGAGAACTGAATGACATGAGAGTGGGTTCCAAACATGGTCCAAATGGAACTTGTTTGAGATTCAAACCATATGGGTTGCATGTGTTGGTAGGGATGGGAACATTCGAACCAACATTACAAAACAAAGCAAGTTTGAGAAAAAGATGGATGGGACGAGCTTTTTTTTTTTTTTTTGATGATTATTCTAAAAAAAATTAAAGCATAATATTAATGAGAAGGCAAATCTTCATTAAGTGTGTTATGGAAGATAGGAAACCAAAGGCCCCCATTTTAGACCCCAATTCAGAAGGCCTTTTCCATTCCCCCAAAAACAAGAAGAAGAAAGGGAAAAAGAAGAGCCTTTTGCATCCATAGACAAATGCATGTGCATTTGGATTTAAACATTTAAAAACAACATCTTATGGAAACTAACAGAGAGATCCTACATGTTTCCAAAAACCCATGTATGGATATGGCATAGGGTACAATGAGGCAATTAGTGCCCAGTTGACCCACTTAATTTATCAAACATTTAAAGTAGTTTAACCTAGTGGCAGTATGGCTTGAATTTTGATCAAGTTTTATGTTACACTTTTGGTGTGCTGTTTATAGTTTGATATATATGTTTATAGGGAACACTATTTTTTTTTTTTTGGTATATTACGCACCCGGTGTCTGAAGTCATTGCTCCGACTAAAATTTTTATTAAAATTAAATAAAAAATGATTAGACGTGAAAATGTAATATCAATGTAACACCGAAAGTACCGGAATACATATGCATGTTTATTTATTTATTTTGAATAGTGAAAGAGGATTAATCTTTCAGGCCTCCAAGAAAATTTTCAATGGGCCTAGCTAGTCCAATCATCCTTTAATGTATTCCCTTGCGATGAAATTTGTCAAAATGAATCAACATATAATTTTAGTTCACATATTACTTGTTGTTAAGAAAATTTTGGCCTTTAATTAATCTTTAAGATATCCTTAAGCTGCAACACTTGAAGAGGAATACCAGAAGTTTTAGAAAATGATGTGGTTTGTTGTAAAATTAACCCCAAATGATGTGGTTTCCATGATTATTGTCCTAATACAACATATATGAAGATCATTTCAAGACAGAAAGAGTAGCGGTCTTCGTAACTAAACTAAAATGAATTTCTTTCTAATCCCAATGATAAAGGACATAGTTGACAATCAAATTATACAGTCATCCGAAAAAATTATCAGAAATTATGGAGTTGCTAGAAGTTAGAAGTTAGCACAACGTTATTTGGGCTATGAGTTGATAGCTCAGACCACAATGTTATGTGTGTTTTAGCCCATGTCCACGATCAAAGAATTTACTGTATAGCCCATAAATCGCTGGGTTTGTGGAAACGATCCATAATAGTGGTTTAACACTTTAACTTAATTTAATTTAATATTTTTGGACAGCAGACTTTCAATTCGTGCGAAGCAAATATTCTAGTGTTAGATGGGAATAGCAAGGTGTTTTGTGATAGTGTTTTGGCAGGATACATTAAGAAAATATTGGATGAGTATTGTGACTTTAGGCTTCGTAGCCTCCTCAGTATGTAAAAAAAAATAAAAAAAATAAAAAAATTCTAATGTTAGGTTTGAAAAATAGAAAATGAAGAAACTGTTGACTCAAAAAAAAAAAAAAACCAAAAATTTGGATCCTTGAAATGTTAAACCTTCATTCATTATTAAAATGTGGCAAATTATTTTGTTGGATCATTTAACTTTTCTAGCGGATAGTTACTTTGAGATAGAAAGAAGAGTATACAAAATCAGTTTATATTACTAATTGTTAGAGTTCCATGAAGTTTGTTACAGGAAAGTAAAACCTGCATTAGGGATTTAGAAGCACAGGCCCAAATTCGTCATCAACAAATCCAATAAATTACTAAAGTAAGCCAAATTTTTGGCTTTTGTTTAACAATTGTTGAAGCATACAATTCCAGCATGAAATTCTCAAATCAGTAGTGGCTTTATAAATATAGCTTGAATCCTGTAATTATAAAAAAACAATGAATAATTTGCCTATAGGTGGGAAAATGTCTATGTTGTGTCAACTATATGAAAATTTTAGCCAAAAAAAGGAGGAAAGATGGGAGTAAAAGATGATGGCAAAAAATCACCATCACATAATGCTACAAACTTTAAAACTCCTATTCTGCCAGGATCATGCTTCTTCAATCCAGAGACAGGAGAATCTAGGGCGAGGATCACAGCGAGATGGTTGACTATGTGCCTATTCTGTATCCCTGAAACTTTCACTTGTCAACCAAAGCTTCTTTTGGACGATAAGTACGACATCATCCCCTTCCTCGTCTTGATTGGTAGTTGAATCGGATGTTGCAACTGCTTCCCAATGCAACGGGCCCAAGTATTTCTTTACAAAATCAATGATTGGTTGCTTGTCCCTGAAGATAACAAAGCCAGTGGGTCTGAGAATACGATCGATCTCAATCAGCAGATCCTCGCCACTACAACCCTTCTTCTCAATGTCCGACAACACAGACCACGCGTGCAGTAAATCATAAGTTCTGGGGTACGTCGAGAAGGCTTCACACCTGGACACATTATTTGTAAAATATATCATAATCAATGCAGTATGGTTTCTGTAATTAATCAACCCATCAACTTATAGACAAATTGCGGTGGCTGAGTTCCACTCACAGGGGAGTTTTCATGAAAACCTCTACTCTTTATTCATCAAATATAAGTACTCATGTATATCAAACAACAGAATTGGAGACCAACTCCAGCAATTTTTAACCACATACCAGTTGTGAGTTGTGCCGATCAACCCTCTATCATATACAAGCTTGAGCGTGTTTGGCCCATCTTCGGCAACAACATTCATCACCCAGACATTCTTATCCTTCAAAGCCGCTGCAAATGAACCAAGATTTGCCTTCATGTCCATTACATTTCTTATGGTGTCTGACGAAATCTTAGACCCCAAAAGGTTCCAGTAATTCTCAACTCTCCGCCTCCAAAGTTGCTGTATATGGACATAGAATAAGAAATTGAACATCAAACTATTCGATTTTGAGATGTGCTAGTAAAGTGCTGATGCCAGATTGCAAACAAATCACAGTTAAAAAAATTACCAAGTCCTTTTCCCACATATCACTTGAATAACCAAAATCAGCAAGACGGGGTGGTGGAGCAGTTAGCCGAGCAGGCCAGGGGGCCAATCCACTACCCTGATTGTTATGATCATCTGATGAAAGATAAACATTAATTGCTACAATGTTACCAACGAGCAAACTGAATATAACACTAAAACACCAGATAGAAAATGTAAAATAGCAACAAAATCACGATCAAAGAAGTGATCAGCTCTCAAGAAAAATCAACAGCTGTTACACTGTTTGCTTTTCTAGTGCCAGAATCATCATTTGCAAAGACCAAAACTAGTTCTCCTTTCTCTTGCAAGACCTTCTTATGGGTAGTATGTATAATCATACAGGCAACTACAAAGATTTACCTTTAGGAGAGAGAAAACCATGATTCACTTATCCATTATCAGCTTAGTTAAGAACATTAGGCTTTTAATTGAAATGGCTTTTTCAAGAGATGTCATTTTCCCAATTGGAGCTAGTAAAATAGAACTTCATGAGTAACATATCAAATTTAGCTATTAAACATGTCTCATTTCTTTTCACTCTTCTTGAAACACAATTAACAAGAGACCAGTGGAACATGGCATGTACAAGTGTAACATTTTAAGCCCTATAACTAACAGAAATTTAGATCTGGGAAACCTCAAGTAAGTTTTTCCTAAATAAGCAAGTGTGTTTCTAAACAGTACCTAAAAGGCACCTGCTAGGTAGCAGAAAAATTTTGTAAAGAAAAGATTAGCCCAAGGCTTATAACTGGAAGTGAGACATGAAGAAACAAAAGGCAAACAAAATCATCAACTTTTATAAAAGATCAGAAACTTACGATCTGAATAGCGTGATATACATGCTTCCATATTTACTCCCCACACTGCATCTGGATCATTATCAGATGGGCAAAGAGGTGGTTGGGTACCAGGAGCTCGTTCCATATAACAGTCATTTGTCAAAGGCTTGACCCAAACAACAGTTTGGTTCCTTTTTGCAGCTATTTTCCAACACATCCGTTCTACAAGTGCACTCATCTCCCTCCATATTCTTAAATCCTCCTCGTCTTGCGCATATGCTTCCGGAGATGAATATGCAAAATAGCCTCCAGGTCTGAGAACCCGATCCAACTCAAGAAGGAGGATTCCATCCCTCTGAAGCCAGTCAATCCTACAACGGGAACAGTGGGCAAATTCAAATGACCTGCTTGGATAAGGTAGCCTCTTGGTCCCAAGAACACCAAGGTATGCAGGGATTCCTCTTTCTAAGGCAAACTGTATTTGATTTTGATGCACATCATTAGGTGCTAATGACATTGCAATGATATCAGACGAAAGAAGGTAACCTCCAAAACTAGCAACTCCACAACCAACATCAAAGACTGTGCGCAGTCTTCCTTCGTTGTTCAAGTTATTATTAGAGAAATTCAACATCTGCACATTGATGCCAGGAAAATGTCAAAAAGACTTCAAACAAGCGAAAAATGCGGAGGTTTACAAAATATAACCCCTATACTCAAATCATAATAACTTACATTTGCAATAGAAGCAATATATTTGTCAGCTCCATAGTGAAAATGCGTTCCACCTCCAGGAAATGAAATTTTGTCACCCTTTACAACCATCCAGTTCTGGTCAGATTTTTCATGTGCAAGATGAGTGTGAGGTATGTTTGCTTTCCAAACTTCGTCCCTACTTTTTGGCCACTTAATGGGAACCTGTTACAGAATGCGGCACATAAATTTTGCGTGCTTTTACAGGTAATTTGGACCATTTACTGGGAAAAAAAAACACTTACCTTGTAGCCAGGAGGAGGAGGAATCAAGCAATTATACCGCCTTTCCGGCAAAGGACAGTGCCTCTCATAGTGCTCCATTAAAGAAAGATCCAACTTCAATCTCATCTGGTATATGAGATGTCTGTCTAAGCACGGAATTAACTCCGAGTGACGATCATCACAAACCTAGAGCATCCAATGGAAAAAAGGAAAAGATTTCAACAAATGTTTGAAAACTAAAATTGGTGGACAGCTGATAACACACTCAAAAGCCAGCATCTAGAGGTGAAGGGTAGTTGTGTATCATTTGCAGAGAACCATGAAAACATACCGGGAAGCTCTTCGGGATAAGTCCATCCTCACCATCGTCAAGAGAAAACTTTGAAGACGTATCATCTTTGCTTCCGAGATCACCATCTTCATCACCGCCAAGGTACGAAGACCCAAGTTTCCTCAACCTGCTGCCATACTCCAGGGCAGACTCGCCGCCGCTCTTGGAGCCAAAATACACATAAAGGAAAACAAGAAAAACGGCCACAACACCAACAGATGTCAGCAAGCGCTTCTTTTGAGCTCCATCCGACCTACCCCTCATCATTTGTACAGCTTCTGTATTGTTCAATGTAACTCTCAGCTAGACCCTCACAAGTTGGATCTTTACTAAATCATGAACATGGTCCTTAATTGAGCAATAACAGTTTACGTCCACAATTTTGATTAAACTGGAACATGCAGACAATAAATGAAATCAAAACGATGTTATAAGAGGAGGTGACAAAAGGAAACTGGTCAGAGCAATCAATCAATAACAGTTTGCGTCCACAATTTTGATTAAACTGGAACATTCAGACAATAAATGAAATCAAAACGATGTTATAAGAGGAGGTGACAAAAGGAAACTGGTCAGAACAATCAATCACACAGGAATATCATTGGCTAGCATGTCAAACAAGTACTTAGTAATTCACAAATCCGAAAAGCAACTTCAATTAAGAGCATTCATTCCAAGATTTTGTTTCTGTTAAAGAGCTTTTCTTGCCATCACCCCATATTCCAAGTCACAAGTTGACATTTCCATTCTCCTACTAATAACTTAGAAATACTAATAAATGAGGATCTGAATCTTAAAAGTTTCCTTTTTCGTATAAATCGACAGTTGAAGAGATCAAATCTAGAATGTGTAAGACCAATGAAAGGTTGTAACCATCTCTTCATAAATATACTTAGAATTGGCTAACGGGAATTAAAGAAGTATAAAGCTAACAAAATAAAGGGATGGACGCCCCCAATTACAATAGCAATAAACAGGACAAGATGCAAAACAAGAGATTCAACAGCCGAGAGCAGAATTGAAGCCGAATTGCCACTACATAATCCTACTCAAACACATGTTACCCACATCATAAGTCAATGTAAAATTGGAGATTTCAAAATTCCCGCATAGACACAGCTGAATACCAGGTACAAGAACTATTTATTATCCATCCCTGATCCACATAAGATTATTTATTGATTCAAAAACCAATTCAAGGAATCAATGTAAAAATCCAAGCTTTACGACTAATTAAGCAATAAATCACGCAAAAGACCGCAGCTTGACAAATCACTGAACGGAACAGAACGAACCCATTTTCCCACATACTTACAAAACATTAACAATGCAAGAATCAGCAAGAAAACTCCACCAAAAACCAATCACCGATCACAATCCAGGATAAGGGTTACAATCATAGAACTATAGAAAAAACCAATAACAGGGGCATGACGACAAATCAGATCCAAATTGGATTTCCAACTGTAAAAACAACACAGAAATAACAGAAGAAGAAACACTCACTTGGGATTAGATCTGAATTGGGTTCAACCCAAAAAAGGGACCTGAGGAAATAAAAGCAATGCAACAAAAAAAGAGCCCAGAGGAGAGAAGAGGTTTGTTCTGCCTCAGAGTGAGTGTGTGGGTACGTGAAAGCGTGTGTGCGTGTTTTATTTTTTCCCTTTTCTGCAAATGGAAAAGAGATCAGGGATTTGTATAGAAGAAGGGTCTCAAACGTGAGAGAGAGGAAGGAATAAAATAGTACTAAAAATTAATGGGAGACAGAGAGATGACGGAGGTGAAAAAAAAAAGGCCGAGTTAGATCTCAGGTTTCAGAGCTTCGCAGCTATTCATCAGTTCACTGTGTCTTTTGCTATTTTTGGGAGGTAAAAAAAACCAGAAGAAAAAAAAAACAAAATTCCTTTTCAATCAAGTACTATTTTTAACCTTAGGTTTTTGACCTTTTTTTTTTTCCCCTAGGGTATTTATTGGAGTTTCAATGATTTTATAGAGTGGCTATTAAATTGAAATAATGATGAAGAATGCAATGATTCAAAAAAAAAATATATTCATAATTAATTGCAAACTTACACTCTTTCTGTATCAAAACGATTATCTAGTTTTTTTCAAAACAATATTTGGAAAAATAGTTTATCCATCTTTTGATTCTAAGTTATTTTCTTTATCAGTACTTAAACATTATATTTAAATCAAACTTGTAACAACTGTGTAAAAAATATGTTAAATTTAATTATTGGTGTTGGTATGACCATCCGTTTAGAAATTTATAATACTAAAAAGATATTATCATTTTCAATTTTTTTCCCCCTAATTTTTACATTCTTAACACATCATTGATACCTAATTTAAAAAAAAAAATAAAATTCAACAACGTATTTTGTTCACTTTTTCTTTACTTTTCTTTTCTTCACTTTTTCCTATGTACAATTAATCAAGCAAAGAAAATCAAGTGAGGAGAAACCTTAAATCAATCAAATCACATATAGTATACTATAAAGAGTGCGAGTCTGTGCAAATTTGTCACCGACACAAAGTATTGTAGTAGTAGAAGATATCTTCTTCCCATGGGGTAAGGCGTGTTCCACTGGTTTGCTGCTTTTATAATCTTTTGTGTGAAGTGTGAAAGTGAAGAAAGTCATCTTATTTTACAATAAACAAAAACGTCTACCTGTTATTTTAGGTAACAGATTGTAAAATTAGTTAATTAACCACAATACTTATTGACTCCGTCTCAAAAATAAAAAATAAAAAATAAGCATATCATTAAACTAGCATAGTATAGCATGGCAGTACATAGATAACTTATTATTTTTATTTTATTTTTTGCAACGGAGTTGTTCCCTTTCTTTCAAATTTTGAGTTATGGTTCATTTCGCATTCTAAATCTACTCAATCGCATAAATTTGTTATCACGTTCGCTCGCCGTGATATAATCTGGTGTACCTAAACATTCATTAGGGTGATACAACAGACATGTTTTTCAGTTAGGCATGTCATTGGTTGATTTATTAAAAGGTTTATTATGATCATGTTGAATCACATAATTTGAGCTCAACAAACTCAAATTATAAATCCATTAGTATACAACTTATCAAATACTTTATCATATTCTTAATTAATTTTCTATAGGATCACCAATGTCACCCTACATTAACAATTATATCAAATCACGTCTATGATATTCCCCAAGGAAGAAGTTGTATCTTAAGTGACTTGTTACCTGTCATGACATCTCATCTATCCACCAATCTCTTGAAAGTCCAAAAATCACAAAATGCTACTACTTGCAAAAGTTGAATGATGTTCATTTAAAACCTTGTAGTAACCAATTGGACATAAGTCAACGTCATGATATTGGAATTAGGGTTTTGCTGGTATACCCTCCACGTGATTGTCAATTAATCGAAATCACGTATACGGGAAAATTTCTTCTATATATCCTCCATGACAGATCATTGAAAATTGACACTTGCAAATAAAATATTTTGTTTCCTTTTTCTTTCCTTCCATTTTTTTTTTAATCGTGGTAGATTCATATTTGGTAGTGCTCACCCAATACTGAGTTACTAAAATTGAGTTAAAGATTGCTGCATGGTAGTGTGTGTGTGTGTGTGTTTTTTTTTTATATATATTTTATATATTATATATTGCATTCAATATTCGAAATTATTCTCCTGTCTAATTCAGATAGATGTTTTTTTTTTTCTTGAAATAAAGTTTTTCAAGCTTATTCTTTTCTAAACACGAATAAAACAAAGTGTAGAAATACGAAATTACACACATTTGAAACATAAAATGCTTTTTTTTGGGTACAAAATCCATGAAACAATTCTAAATTAACACATACTACACTCTACACCCGACTTAATCCCAAAACAAAACACTATAAAAAAAAATTAGAGTTGATAATCTAGCCTATATAGGAACGAAATTTTTATCTGCATGGAAAGTTTCTTTCGTATTGTCACAATCTCAAACGGATTTCATTTACTTCTTTTGTGACTCTTTGGTTTTTTCCTTTAAAAGTCCCCGGTGGTTTATATATATATATATATATATATATATATTTCTAGTTACGAAAATAAAATAATTTTGAGGAATTTTTGCATGCCAATTTTTTTTTGAAAAAAAAAATGCTAACAACCCAGCTAAATAAAGAAAAATGAAAAACGAGTCACGCGGAATCATTAGCTAATAAAAATGTTGGTTTTTTAAATTTTAAGGAATTAATTGACTTTGTCGGCAACCATGTGACAGCAAGTGCTTATTGAGCCATGAGGGCTTTTGGTTCCAACACTTCGTTTTCAGGTGACAAAGAAATCAAAGATTTAAACATAATCGTTACTATTTTTCTTAGGTTTGTATCCACATCAAACATATGGCTAACTGTCCCATATTTATATGGGAAAGCTTTATATTCATCCTATGACCGTACGTACTTTATTCATCTCGTAAAAATATGTAACCATGTCTTCATCCAATAATTATACTGTTTCCGTTTCGATATTATTGTGCAGTTTGGATTTGTGTTTTTATTTCAAATTGTATTAAAAGTGAAATATCAAACTAGAGAAGAATAATTTTGGGACAGAGGTATGAGTATATATCTTCTCATTAATAAGAATCTATTTAGGTGATTGAATTCCAAAATTAGAGTTGGGAATTATTCATTATTGGATTTGGTTAGGAGTATCACTTAGTTGTTAAAATATAAATTGGTAGATGAACATATATACTGCAAAGCATGTTATATTGTGATGATCGTATATGCTGCAAGGAAAAAAGTGTGTGATTACCAAATGTATTTATGAGGGTTATGGTCTTCTTTACAGGCACTCAGGTTGATTCAATCTCATATTGATTACCAAATGTATTTATGAGGGTTATGGTCTTCTATACAAACATTAACTTAGGCATTTGGTCCCAAACCTCCCAGGATACACCCCCGAGATAGGGACAGTGTTAATACATATATATCCTCGTAATTATATTTGAGTGAACCTTAACACAAGTCATCAACCTTTAATATATTTTCACTCTAGGTCATCAATTAAATTTATTTGTAACACATGTTACCTTACTAAAGTTTTAATCCATTTCAGGTTATTCTGTTAATTTTGGCCGTTAAATAGTGACGGAAATCTATTTTTCACATGTTTTTGGGTTCAGGGGTATTTTTGTCATTTTCTTATTTTTTTAATTTTTTAATCTTTTACTTTTTTTTTTTTTTACAATTCTTCTTCTTATATTTCCTAATTTGTATATACTGGTAGTTTAATTCTAAATTTTAAAAATTTATTTTTCTTTTGTATTTTAACTTCTAGATTATAAAATTTTTTTAAAAAAATTTAAGAAATGAAGAAGAAAAATTCGAGTTAAAGTAATGAAAATTACTAATTTACCATTTTAAACAAAAATTAAAATTAAAATAATTAGCTAAGACAAGTTGCTTCTTCTAAATTATTTAATTTTTTTCAACTCGATTGAATTATTTAATTATTAATTTTCACGTTTCTTCTTCCTTTTTTATTAATAATCTACAAGTTAAGATACAGTGACAAATTAATTTTCAAAAATGAATTTGTTTTTCATTTGTATCTTAACTTCTAGGTTATAAATAAGGAATAAGAAACGTGAAAATTAATAATTAAATAATTTAATTGAGTTGAAAAAAATTAAATAACCTAGAAGAAACAACTTGTCTTAGCTAATTCTTTTAGTTTTTCTTTTTTTTTAAATGATAATTTATTAATTTTCATGTTTACTTTAACTCGAATTTTTCTTCTTCATTTCTTAAATTTTTTTAAAAAATTTTATAATCTAGAAGTTAAAATATAAAAGGAAAATAAATTTTTAAAATTTAGAATTATACTACTAGAGTATACAAGTTAGGAAGTATAAGAAGAAGAATTGTAAAAAAAACAAAAATAAAAATTAAAAGGTTAAAAAATAAAAAAATAAAAAAATAATAAAATGATAAAAATACCCATGAATCCAAAACATGTGAAAAATAAATTTCCGTCACTATTTAACGGCCAAAATTAACAGAATAATTTGAAATGGATTAAAACTTTAGTAAGGTAACCTGTGTTATAAATAAATTTAATTGATGACCTAGAGTGGAAATATATTAAAGGTTGATGACTTGTTTTAAAGTTTCAAACACAAAATTTGGTTTCATTATTTCTATACTTTTTATTAAAAAAATTAACCTCAGAATTTTCCTTATGTTTGAAGACGGGCTAAACTCAAAAGAACATCAGCATAGACTAGCCCATAACAAAACAAACGTCCAAGACTGCACCCCATAGGATAATGGCTAGAGAATCAAGAATGCTTAAAATTTAGGGTAATGACGTCCCTTCCATCCAAAAACAATAATAACAATAATTATAATAATACTATCTCTGTTTCAAAAAAATAGTCCACATTAGATTTTTAAATTTGTATTAAAAACAGTACAAAACTCAAAACTCAATGTGGACTATTGTTTTGGGACTGAGGGAGTACTTCTTTTCTTCCGTAGAAATAGTTTAAAACTATAAATCCTGAATTTATATAATGAGATTGGTATCTTGTAAAAAATTTATTATAAAATTGATAAAGAATCATGATACTCTATTCAATTTTTTTAGTTTTAATTTAAGATATAGTCATCTAGTTATAAATTTTTAGTTTTTCAAATATAACCATTTTTTTTCCCGAAATACATGGAATCATTTTTACAACTCCTAAGGAACTTCAGAGATTTTAGGGCCTGACTCTATCTTCCAATGGGCTTCAAAGCTTTTGTTTTTAAGGTGTGTAATTGGGCTGCATCATATAAAAACCTGCAAAGGCCTAAAAAATTGGTTTGCGAAAGACTCAATATGGAAGCGGATACAAGATGAACTTTGGACATTCTTGGAAAGTCGACGAATGCAAATCAGATATAGGAGTACTATTTTTTTTT